CATTAATTATTTTTAATACATAATAATTTTACTCTGCAGTTTAACCAAGTTATTAATATTGGTAGTTTCTGCATAAATCAAATTATTTTATTCTTACATAAAATATGCTAAAATAAAACAAAGCTGGCATTACCAGCTAGAAGCAACGTATTGCAGAAAAAATTGTACTTACTTCCTATCTATAATTTTGGTTCTGTAAGTTTAACTTGGATAGGAACACAAAATTATACTCCTTATATTTATATATTCTCATGATTTTGTTAGCTCTGTAACTTAAATAGAAATACTCTCCTGATTTTGTGGGATTAAAATTGCATAATATATTGGAATCAGATAAAAGGATTATTAAACACTAAGTATTAACAAATATTTATTTTTAAAAAACAAATAAGAGATTCATTTGTGAATCTTACACATAACCACCTTGAGGGAAAATGTTGAGGTCACTTGGAGTCACCGAAATTAAGGTTTTTAGCCTTGGATTTGCCCTCAATTAACTCTGCAACTTCAAGCATGTCATTCAACCTTTCTGACTCAGTCTGTTTAGCTGTAAAATATAGCTAATTGTGCATGATCTAATTCCATAATTAAGTCAGGCACATTTAATAAACACCTTCCATGTGCCAGCACCTTTGTGAGGACTAAGAATATTAAGAATATAGGATATTGAGGGAAACCAAGATGGCAGCATAGGTAAACACCGGAAATTGCTGCCTCACACAACCACTTCAAAAATACAACTAAAAGACAAAACGGACATCATCCAGAACCACAGGAAGGCTGGCTGAGTGGAAATTCTACAACTAGAAGGAAAGAGAAAAGCACACTGAGACTCAGAGAAGGTGTGGAAGTAAAGTGCTGAGGTACGGAGGCACACGTGGAAAGGGCTGGCAACTGAGGACGCGGTTGTCTTTTTCAATTGGGAGGGAGTCTCAAGCTCCTGAATGCTCTGAACTCCAGTTTCGGGCAAGTCTCTGGGGACCCAGACTCATACGGGGAGAAACTGGACTGTCTGGCATCGGTCGGAACTCGAGGGCAGCTTTCTCTCAGAGGTGCTTGTAGTGATTACCGGGACACTGAGATGCGGGGCTTCTTAGGGTAGGACTGAGGAGCAGCCATAGCTGTTTGCTCTGCCCTGTTGATCCCCTGAGACCCCGCCCCACCCAACTGTGCTCAGAGGCTTTTGCATATGAATGGCCTGGCCCTTTGCAATCTGAAAATTACCTGACAAACTGCAGCTGAGTCAGAGAGACCCAGAACTTCCAAAAGAAGGCCCAAGGCCCCACAGAAGCTTGCATTGCTTCACAGCTGGGCCTCGTCTGGGAACCTCCAAACCCCAAACAAAGAAGAGGAATCTGCAGATCTCTCCATAGCTCTTGCTGGGTAGCCTCAGGCAGAGGCTAAATAAGCACCTCCTTAGAGATCCAAGAGCCAGTGTACCCAGTGGTCAGAGTGGGACCATCCAGATTACAACTCCTCAGATCCATAAGGGACACACTCAGGGGGCAGACTCAGTGAGCATCAAGGCCCCACTGAAGCAAGTCTTGCCCCAGAAGGGTGTCTCCAGCATAGAAGATCTCCCACTGCAGACACAACTGATTCTCACAGCCAATTGGCATGGAGGTCAATTCCTCCCAGTGATACCTACAACAATCAAGGCTTAACTACAACAAGACTGTGCACAAAGCCCACAAAGGGGTGCACCAAGAGTGTCCACCTCAGGTAATTGGGGAGGCTGAGCCACGGGCCCTATAGGACACCTAGCACACAAAGCCACTCTATCAACACAGGGAAACATAAAAAATGTGTAGACAAAGAAACAGGTCACGAATGACAGAAATGGAGGAAAGCAAACTACTGGATATAGAGTTCAAAACCACACTTATAAGGTTTTTCAAGAATTTTCTAGAAACCGCCGATAAATTTAGTGAGACCCTCAAGAAATCTAGTGAGGTTATGAAAAAGGACCTACTAGAAATTAAGCATACACTGACTGAAATAAAGAATATTATACAGAGTTCCAACAGCAGACTAGAGGATTGCAAGAATCAACTCAAAGATTTGAAATATGAAGAAGCAAAAAACACCCAACCGGAAAAACAAAAAGAAAAAAAGAATCCAAAAATATGAAGATAATGTAAGGAGCCTCTGGGACAACTTCAAGCATACCAACATCCGAATTATGGGGGTGCCAGAAGAAGAGAGAGAGCAAGATATTGAAAACCTATTTGAAGAAATAATGACAAAAACCTTCCCCTACCTGGTGAAAGAAATAGACTTCCAAGTCCAGGAAGCGCAGAGAACCCCAAACAAAAGGAATCCAAAGAGGACCACACCAAGGCACATCATCATTAAAATGCCAAGAGCAAAAGACAAAGAGAGAATCTTAAAAGCAGCAAGGGAAAAACAGTCAGTTACCTACAAGAGAGTACCCATACGACTGTCAGCTGATTTCTCAACAGAAACTATGCCGTCCAGAAGGGAGTGGCAAGGAGTATTCAAAGTGATGAATACCAAGAACCTACAACCTAGATTACTTTATCCAGCAAAGCTTTCGTTCAGAATTGAAGGTCAGATAAAGAGCTTCACAGATAAGAAAAAGCTAAAGGAGTTCATCACCACCAAACCAGTATTATATGAAATGCTGAAAGGTATCCTTTAAGAAGAGGAAGAAGAAGAAAAAGGTAAAGATACAAATTATGAAGAACAAATACATATCTATCAACAAGTGAATCTAAAAATCAAGTGAGTAAATAATCTGATGAACAGAATAAACTGGTGAATATAATAGAATCAGGGACATAGAAAGAGAGTCGACTGACTATTCTCAGGGGGGAAAGGTTTGTGGTGGGGGTGGGAAGAGACTGGACAAAAATCGTACACCTATGGATGAGGACAGTGGAGGGGGGGTAAGGATAGAAGGTGGGGTGGGAACTGGGTGGAGGAGAGCTATGGGGGGAAAAAAGAGGAACAACTGTAATAATCTGAATAATAAAGATTTAATTTAAAAAAAGAATATAGACTATTGTTGAAGAATTGAAAACTATAATGTATGTTAAAGCATTCTGTCAAGTACAGTATGTAAGCAACTAGTTTATGCTATCATGATTATAAATATTATTTTTTAGAAGTGGCAGGAGCACCTGGATCTCATCCCAAATGCACAGGTACATTCATTGTGGCAAATTTTACAAAGAGGAACTTGCCTCTACAAAATAAAATTCATGACAATTATCAGGAAATAAAAGGTAGAGTAGGATGTAAGAAACTGCTTTCTAACCAGGAGAGAAAGGACAGCAAGACAAATAATAATGTAATGACTTCTTTAGAACTCTGAGTTTAGAACTCTGACGTTCAGCGAGACAGTGTTATAATTGCCTACCAGTCTAATATTCCCCATTCCAAAACAGAGAAACCATAATAATTTTTTTCTTTGATTAAAATAAAGAAAAACATTTAAAAATACTAAACCCACTGTAAAGAGAGAAAAGGAAAAATAAACCGTTATTCTTCAATGCAAGACACCCATTGAGAACAGTGTAAACGGAGATGGCAGTTTTGATAATAAAGACTAGAGAAAGAGACTACAGTAAGAACACAGACCTCTGTTTTGCCAAAGTCTACAGCTATTGAGGTTTACTGACCCTGCATCTTTCCAGAAACTTTACCACTCTTGGCTGAACTGTTGAAAACTCACATTCCATTACATCGCTCTGCAGTCCCAGCAGTATTCTAGATTGTAAAACAACTTGAATAAGTCCCCTTGAGTGATATTTTCTCAGCTTCCAGGGAGTGGGATAAGAATATGGTGGGCTAGGATATCAAAACATAGCTCTGGATAAAGAAGCACTGAGCAGAACAGATCCTATACTATATAATCCATTGTTATTATTGCCCCAAGCAAATGATTAATTCCACATGCAAGAATTCTTCAAAGGAGTAGAAACATCTAGTCTGGTTATGAAATTTCCAAAAGTTGGCTGATATTTAATTGAAATATAACTACCCTTCACTTTATAGAAAAGATAAATTTCAGAAGACTGATCAAAGTGAATCCTTTTTAAATTGTCAAAATCCTCTTAATAGCCAGGGATTCATTTCCTAAGGGAAAGTAACTCTTCAACTAAAATAAGATATTGAGCCTGCACCATTATAAATACCCATCAGTCCATGTGTGGAGAGTGCCCACTGTCAATCCACACTGTCAGAGAGTCTCTCCTGCCTAATGACTGCCTAAAACACCCATCGGGTGTTCCTGGAACTTTATTCTTATAGACTGTTTTCTTTCCCTAAAGTTTAGGTTGTCTAATACACCTTAATTACATTGTCAATAGAGTTTTAAACCAAACATGCTATTATTCTAATTTAGACATTCCTTAAATTTAAGCTACAATTTAGTAAGTTTCCATTGTTTACTTTGTCAATTTGGTAAAATGAAACAAGTCATAAGTTTAAATTCCCTGTTTTTCCTTCACTTAGACCTCTAATTAATCTTTCCTATCTGCTTGCAATAACCATTGATGAAAGGCTATCCTGGAACACTTTCAGTATTGGGTCATTGAGGCATACAAGTTTTCACGTTTACTATTATTTTTGGAGGTAGAATCAAACAATGTCACAGAAATTTACAAGGCAATATATATATATATATATATATATATATATATATATATATATAAACAATTGCATTCTAAATTGAAAATATTTGTTCTTAGAGTTATTTTATTATAATATTACTAGAATATAATTATTCAATAAATTTATAAAATTAATGGATTATAATGCCAGTGATATAAGAATATTTTAAAAAACAACAAAGAATTAACAATCAGTACTACCCAATTGATTAAAAACTTTTTTTAAGTCAAGGTAAAGAAACCAAGAGGTGAGAAAATTATTTGAGTTTCATTACTATAAAGTGTCTCTTTCTTGACATTTGAAGGAAAGAATAGATAGAGGTCAAAGTCAAGGGTGAAATAAATTTTCAATACATTACTTACTTCTTTGTAGCCAAAGATGATGCGTCCATCTATGAGGAGGGTTGCCTGGAATGTGAAGCTTCCCAGGTTGTAATTATCCTGGAGATGTACGTGGTCCCACTGGACAACAAGTGCTGTGCCTGGAAACCCCATCGGAACAGAAGAAACACAACGAGAAAAGCATATCAATCGATTCTGGGCGGAGCCTTCACAAAAAAATATGGATCTAGCCTTCAAATCTAGTAGTTGTGCTACTTAAGTTTTATATGGTTAATAGAATTCTGTAATTGAAATAGCATTTGGCATATGGTGAGCTTTCGGAACATGCTAAAATCATGACATAGATACATTTGGTCCTGAAGATGATGATTAAAACCAGTTTGATGATATTAGAGATGACGATGAAGACACTGATGATATCTAAATTGAATTCAAAATTTCTGAGTATTATTCTACAGTTTGGATTTTGGCCATCACCTGTTAAGAAGACTAAAACTTCAGCATGAATGCAATTTGCTAAGGCATACTGATTTATTTTCATTATTTTTAAAGTATTCATTATATCCCTTTAAGTAAAATGTTAACACTTCATTATTTTGCCTTAATGGAACGTAAGGGTAAAAGACCACAATATCTGCTGTTAAAATAAAGAGAGAGAATGGATAAAAGAAATGTTTTCCAGTTTTAAAAAATTAGCATTTGAAATATTATTAAAGAATTGGGTATTCTCTAAATATTTGGTAAAATCTAACCTCATACTGAGGTTAATATTGAGCCCAGTATGAGGGGATTTTGCCTTAGGAAGTTCATTAGTGTTAATGGGTATTGTCTGCTTAAATTTCCATGAGCCACTTTCAAAATGCAGCCCAAGTGATTTGAATGAATTTCGAATACATTGACAAATGCTGAGAGAGAAAGGAACACATTCAGGAAAGCTAGAATTGCTTATTATAAAAGACCCGAAAATGGCTCTTCCAGACTTAGAATTATACTCTTCCATGCTGAAGAAATTCCTTTAACCTGAATGGAAATATTCTTCTTTGATTCATAATGCCTGCAGTTCTTTGTTGTATTGCCTTGAGAAGGCTTCCAGGTAGCTTAAAGGTCCCCAGGCTCAGATTTCTGAAGCCTCCATGAAGTACACTGGGAAAAATCTTTAGTGCTATATATCATGTTCTAATGAGTTAATCTACCAGTGTTTACGATAAAACTATTAACATGGAATATAAATTGGAACACGGTTTAAAAGGCACCAATGAGAATTCATATATTTGTTTTAACGGACATTGTTTTTTCCATATATTTTTTTTAAGAAAACAAATGAGCAGCTAATATTTTTGCTTAGCTCTAAGTATTGGATTTTCTGTTCCGTTAAAAAATCATTTTGTCAAAAAATGTTTTACAGAAAATGAAACTCACAGAACTAAAAGAGCAAAACCAGTCTTCCAGGTCCATAAATATCTGATTAAAAAAGGAAAAGTCAAGATTGTATGACAGAGAGCTTCTGGGTTGGTGAGGATGTGGAGGTGCTGGGAGAGTCATGCCCAGAGAGGGAATGGACGCTCCACACCCCTTCCCACATACCTTACTCCATGCATTCCTTCCCTCTGACTGTTCCCTAGCTAATTGCTGCACCAGATGACCCATGCAGAACAGAACACTGTCTTTACTTGCTTTTGAGTATAACTTAACCTGAGAGCTTTTGACCAAGATGGCAACATAGGAGGCTTCTGAATTTCCTTCCTCCAATCGACACCCTAACTGTTGTGGAGGAAAAGGGGCCACATGCTAACCTGACTGACTAGGTCTGGGGGGCAGCCTGGCAAGTTCAGAGACCTAAAGTAACCACAAAGGATGGTCTGAAATGAAAAAAATTAAAACTAAAAGTAGTTTATGGTGGGTAGTCATGTCCTAGGCCAGTATCTTCCCTGACAAAGGTCAATCTTTACCTTAACTGAGCCTGTCCATTGTCTTTTTGCATCTATGATAACATATTGTTGGAATGTCAAAGTCATTTTCCTTTTTCCCCTCAAAGCACAGGCACCACTCTGCAGAGAGCACAAATCTCCTCATTATTATTGAGTTAATTGTTGACTGTTGACTGTCCTGTACTCACCTAAGTAAAAGAAGTATGTGTCTATCATTTTACTTTTTATCAAACCCAGAATTTCCCCACTTTGCTTTCTCCTAACTCCCTAATCTATCACTAATGGATTTCATGTAACCCACTTACATCTCCTCTTTTTAAAAAAATATATATTTCATTGATTTTAGAGAGAAGAAGGGAGAAGGATTGAGAGATAGAAATATCAATAAGAGAGAAACATCATTTGGCTGCCTCCTGCACACCCACCACTGGGGATTGAGCCCAAATTGGGCATGTGCCCTGACCGGGAATCGAACTGTGACCTCCTGGTTTATGGGCCGACGCTCAACCACTGAGCCACATCACCCAGGTTATGTCACCTCTTTTGATTGTAATGTATAAAACAAGGTGAAAACTGCCATTCTCCAGAGCATTATCTCAATCCGTTGAGATTCTGCCTCTCGGCATTTGCCAACAACTTGGCAGAAATAAACTCAAAAAAATTCTTCATAGGTTTGAATGTTTCTTACGTTGACGTTACATAGCTACACGCAAAGCAATTTCCTCTGAGAGAAATCCAGAAACTAGCTGAGTGACTGCTATGCATCGGGTGACTGAAAAAATATCTACATTGAAACTGCACACCGATCAGACCGTCAAACCTCAGAGGGAAGGGAAGGGAGGGAGGGGGCAAGGGGGAAGGATCAACCAAAGGACTTGTATGCATGCATATAAGCCTAACCAATGGACACAGACACAAGGGGGGTGAGGGCATGAGTGGGGGGGGGGATAATTTGGGGGGATAAGGAAACAGATGTAATACCTTAATCAATAAAGAAAAAAATTATTTAAAAAATTAAAAAAAGAAACTGCACATATGTAGGTGTTGACTATGGTCCTCTCTAGAGCCCAATAGAGCCAGGAGGCAGTTCCCCTGCCTTCCCCCTTTGGCTCATACAACCCTACAACAAGGTCACCAGCACCTCCCTGGAGGAGCTTACACACAAGTCTGGCCCCCAGTTCTGTGGAATCACCTGCGGGACAGGCCCCCAGATTGCTAGCTGTGATGGACAATGGGCTGTGCATTCCTGAGTTCCACAGGCTTGTAACAAACAGGCTTATCTTTGTGCACTTGCCATGGCCATGCCCTCCACCCCGGAGGAGTCAGCAGACGGGGAGCAGGCAAAAATGCCCATCCCCCAGTCTTTTCATTTAAGAGATGGGACAACATATTTTATAAGCTGCTGCATGAGGGTCCAGCATCTAAGTAGCATTCATCTAATGCTCCACCTTCTCCCTGCAGCTCACTCCAACAGTAAAACCAAGTTGCCAGTATTTATCTCAAAGGAGCTCTGTCTATGTGGAGTGCCCCAAATTTTATGGCTGCCATCGAGGTTTGGCACCTAAAATAAACCACCTTGCTCTGATAGCCAACAGGGCTTGCATCTACAAGTCAGAGATTAGAGCAAACAAAGAAGTTTCAAAATGGTGCAGAAGCACTCCCAGGATTAAACTTCCAGACACAGTGCAGAGAGAGCAGGCAAAAATGCCTGTCCCCCAGTTTCTCCCTGGAAGGGGTTTGACTGCAGACTTCCCCAGCTGCTGCCTGAGGGTAGCAACAAATCAGCTTGCATCTAGGTGCTGACTGATCTCCCTTTAGGACACTGATGGGTCTTAGAACACTCTCAGCTACTGAGAACAAAGATGATGTCTTAGACAACGACAAGGGTTTGAGAGGCAACCAGGAGCTTCAGCCTGCCTGATTGATGAGGGTCATCTCCTACACAAGACCCCTCTAACAAGAATGGAAGAGGTGGCTATTTTATCTAATGTGCAGAAACCAACACAGAGCCAAGAAGTATGAATAAACAAAAAAATATGTTTCAAATAAAAGAACAAGATCTCCAGAGACAGATGTTAATGAAATGGAGGTAAATGATTTACCCAAATGAGTTCAAAATAAGTCATAAAGATGAACACTGAGGTCAGAAGAGCAATGCATGCGCACAGTGAAAATTTCAGCCAAAGACAGAAAAAGTATTAAAAACTATTAAAGAGGAGAATCAAAGATGGCGGCATAGGTAAACACTGGAGACTGCTGCCGCAAACAACCACTTCAAAAATACAACTAAAAGACAGAACGGACATCAACCAGAACCACAGGAAGGCTGGCTGAGGAGAGACTCTTCAACTAGAAGGAAAAACAACAGCATTAAGAGGCTCAGAGGAGGCGCAGTGTGGAAAATTTAAAGGTACGGTGGTGCGCGCTCAAAGCGGGCTGGTGGCTGAGGGCGCGGTTGTCGCTTTCAATCAGGAGGGAGTCTCAGACTCTGGGCTACAGATCCCGAAGAGTCTCTAGGGACCCAGACTCAAATGGGAGAAGTGGGACTGTCTGGCTACGGTCCCTCCTAGGTTTGCAGCGGTTGCTGGGACAGAGAGGCAGAGCCTCTAGGGACGGACTGAGAGCAGCCATAACTGCTCCCTCCCCCGCCCTGTTGATCCCGCCCCGCCCAAGCCCTGCGCAGAGCCATTTGCTGGATCGCCTCAGGCAAAGGCTAGATTAGCACCTCCCCAGAGGACTGAAGTTTTCCACACAGCTGATTCTCACAGCCAGTCGGCCTGGTGGTCAAATCCCTCTAGTATTAACTACAACAATTAAGGCTTAACTAGAACAAGACTGCGCACAAAGACCACAAGGGGGTGCACCAAGAAAGCATAAAAGATGCGGAGACAAAAAAACATGACAGAAATGGAGGATATGGAGCTAAAAACGCAATTTTGAGGGCTTGCAATAAACTTGAGCAGAGCCTCACGAAAACTAATGAGACCCTCGATGCTACGATAAAGAAATTAGAAAGTAAGCATACACGGACTGAAATAAAGAATATTATACCCAATAGCAGACCAGAGGAGCACAAGAATCAAACCAAAGATTTGAAATTCGAAGAAGCAAAAAACACCCAACTGGAAAAGCAAAATGAAAAAAGAATCCGAAAGTGTGAAGATAGTGTAAGGAGCCTCTGGGACAGCTTCAAGTGCACTAATATCAGAATT